ACGGGGACACTTGGAAGTCCAGAAAGTTACTGTAGATACGCTTTGAGTCACAAGATTTATAGCTGCGCGGCGCAGGGGAGGAGTGCAGCTGGCACTGCTGCCGCCGGCCCCGTCCCGCGCTCGTCTCGGGGCGTGTTAAGGAGCTGTAACCTGGCGGGCCCTTCTCACGGCAGGGGTGTTTATCTGCTCTGATAAGAGCCCTTATCAGGACCTGAGCAAATACAGCCCAGGAGCGGCAAAGGCATCCAGGCACTTCCCATGTGTCACGCAGGACTTCTCCTGGATGTGCCACCAACGGGTGTTTGGTGACACTTGATGAGCTCCCTCCTGTCACCTCCACAGGGCACAGCCCTGGAGATCCAGCCCCACTAGCACACAGGGTCTGGGGTCCCTCCTGCCGGATCCATGACGAGGTGGACAGGAGCTGCAAGCCAGCACCACGGAAGACCCCAGGGATGTCCCTGCTTTCTTCCAGAGCAAACATGCTGCATGGTTCAACAGGGGCCGTAGGCATAGAGCCGGACCAAGCAACAGTGCCAACCACCCAGTTTGTCAGTTTGGGGCTCACATCAGGGATGGAGCTGTAGGGACTGGACATGAGACTGCTTCTGTCTGAGCCTCAGGTGAAAGCAGGTACCACTCCAGGGAGCACCTGGTGCTGGGAATGTCTCCTGCCTCTTCCAACTGGGGGTGCAGAAATTGTGAGGTCCACCGCACGTCCTTGGCGCAGGGCAGCCATGTCCCAGCAGCCGTCACCTCCATCCCGGAGGAGGCTGGTCACCCTCACCTCCATCCCAGGAAAGATGATGGAGCAGCTCATTCTAGAGGTCATCATCAAGCAAGGGGAGGAAAAGAAGGTTATCAGGAGCAGTCAACATGGATTCACCAAGGGCAAATCATGCTTGACCAATCTGACCAAGCTTTCTACGATGGCATAACTGGCTGGGTCGATGAGGGGAGAACAGTAGATGTTTTCTACCTCGACTTCAGCAAGGCTTTCGACAGTGTCTCCCATCACATCCTCCTAGGGAAGCTCAGGAAGTGTGGGCTGGATGAGTGGTCAGTGAGGTGGATTGAGAACTGGCTGAATGGCAGAGCTCAGAGGGTGGTCATCAGCAGCGCTGAGTCTAGTTGGAGGCCGGTAACCAGTGGTGTCCCTCGGGGGTCAGTACTGGGCCCAGT